GACATTGGCCCACAGGGGAGCTGACATTGTACCTGGGGATTGACATTGGCCCACGGGGGAGCTGACGTTGTCCATGGGGATTGACATTGGCCCACAGGGGAGCTGACGTTGTCCATGGGGATTGACATTGGCCCACGGGGGAGCTGACGTTGTCTATGGGGATTGACATTGGCCCACAGGGGAGCTGACACTGTCTTGGGGATTGACATTGGCTCTGGGCAAGCTGACATTGTCTGTGGGGATTGACATTGGCCCATGGGGGATGCCCTATATCTACTTTTCTTACTGAAAGGAGAGTCCACAGTGTAATGGGTGGTCAGCATGTGGTCTCTTGGGCACTCAACGTCATGCCACTACATGCCTGCAATCCGCAACCCAAAGCAGGCACATGCTGCACCCTCTCCCACCCCCACCTGATCTGGAACCCCTGCCTGTGTTGCTTCCTCGTTGCCTGTAGCTGTGACCAGTGACCAAGACGGAGGCTGTGACTGCTATGTCCAGGGCAGTGTGGCCAGCAAGATGGGCTCTGTGGAGGCTCAGACTGCTCTGAAGAAGCGGCAGCTGCGCACCACCTGGGAGGAGGGCCTGGTGCTCCCCTTGGCAGAGGAGGAGCTCCCCACAGCAGCCCTGACACTGACCTTGAGAACTTGCGACCGCTTCTCCCGTCACAGTGTGGCCGGACAGCTCTGCTTGGGCCTGGATGGGGTGTCTGTGCCTCTGGGGGCTGCCCAGTGGAGCGAGCTGAAGACATCAGCCAAGGTGGGTGCTATGGATTGAACTGTGCTCTCCACAACTCCATGTTTGTAAATCCCAGCCCTGAGCTGGTTGGAAAGAGACCCAGTGGTTTACACACTGGGCTGCTAATCACAAGGTTGGCAGTTTGAAACCACCAGGAACTTCTAGGGAGAAAGATGAGGCTTTCTACTCCTATAAAGAGTTACACTCTCGGAAACCCGCAAGGGGCAGCTCCGCTCTGTCCTATGGGGTCACTGTGAGTTGAAATGGACTTGATGACCTTGAGTTTGGGACCATTTGTAAGGCACCCTGGTGGTGCACTGGGTGAGGCAGGCGGTTGGAACCCCGTGAAGATCACAGCTTAGGAAAGCCCACATGGGGAGGAGGGGGGAGTTGTGCTCTGTTGCATGTGGTTGGGATGGGAGGAAATGTACTCCACTGCATGAAGCCAAACAACAAAAAACGAGGGGCCTCTGGGGAACAGGGCTCTCTTTGTTATGTTAATGAGGTCATCTCTGCTTAGCATGTGTTTTGAGTCAGTCCCCTTTGAGATACTAAAGAGCAGGGTGTGGTAGTTACCTAATCTGGTGTCAATTTGAGGATTAAGAGTGTAGGGTGGAGTCTGTCAATCAGATCATAGCCAATGAGACCTCTGTGTGGGCATGGCCTTTTCCTGAGAATTCTGGGAAATCTGGTACTTCCTCTTTGGAGGCTGAAGACACCTCTTTCTCTCTGCCACTCCCTGGGAGACAATTGCAGAAGACAAGCCACATGGATGCAACCAGACCTCTGAAGCCAGAGAAGCCACAGAGAGATGCCTGCCAGCGCTGAGATGCTTACAACGCCACTGGACCCAAAGACTTCTACCCACTGGCTTGTGATCATCCTGCATTTGACTTCATTGCTTGTGTTGTGTGAGTCTGAAGAGGACTTTATAGATTGGTATCGGACATATGGGCTATGGCATTGGACTGGACTGGGCTGGGATGTTTTCTCAATGTTCAATTGCTTTTGTATACAAATCTCTTTCTTATACACATATGTGTGTCCATGGATTTGCTTCTCTAGTCTACCCCAACTAACACACAGGGCATGTGCAGAGAAAATCAAGCCCGGGTGGGGAAAGATGGACACCACTTGGTGGTCTTCAAGGAGCATCAAGAAGAAGCTGAGACAGAGCAGACAGAGGGTGTCTTCCTCTGAATTGGGGCTCCTAGCTTCTGAATTCAGTGGGGGGTGGGGGGTGGGATTGACAGGGAGCTGCCAGAAGTCCAGGCCGGATTCAGAAGAGGACATGGAACAAGGGATATCATTGCTGATGTCAGGTGCATCTTGGCTCAAAGCAGAGACTATCAGGAAGATGTTTACTTGTGTTTCATTGACTATGCAAAGGCATTCAGCTGTGTGGACCGTAATCAACTGTGGATAGTCTCAAGAAGAATGGGAATTCCAGGACACTTCATTGTGCTCATTCGGAACTTACACATGGGTCAAGACGCAGTTGTGAGAACAGAACAAGGGCATACTCTGTGGTTTAAAATCAGGAAAGGTGTGCATCAGGGTTGCATCCTCTTGCCGTACTTGTTCAATGTGTACGCTGTGCAAATCATCAGAGAAGCTGGATGATATGAAGAAGAGTGTGGCATCGGGATTGAAGGAAGGCTTCTTAACAACCCGCAGTATGCAGATGATGCAACTTTGCTTGCTAAAGTGAGAAGGGCTTGAAGCACTTCCTAATGAAGATCTAGGATCTTAGCCTTCAGGATGGATTACAACTCAATGTAAGGAAGACCCAAATCCTTACAACTGAACCAATAGGTAACCTCATGATAAATGGAGAAACAGTTGAAGTTGTCGAGGACTTTGTCTTGTTGGGATCCTCAATCAATGCTCATGGAAGCAGCAGTCATGAGATCAAGACAGTGTTGCATTAATAAATCTGCTGCACAAGACATCTTTAGACTATTGAAGAGCAAGGAAGTTACTTTGAGGACTAAGGTGCACCTGACCCAACCATGGTAGTCTCCATTGCCTCACAGGCATGTGAAAGTTGGACACTGAATAAGGAAAACTGTAGAAGAACCGATGCCTTTGAATTGTAGCGCTGGAGAAGGATATTGAAAGTACCATGGACCGCTTAGAGGACAAACCAGCCTGTATGGAAAGAAGTAAGGTCAGAGTGCTCTTTAGAGGCAAGGATGGTCAGACTCCGTCTTACTTAGTTTGGACGTGCTGTCCTGAGAGACCAGTCCCTGGAGAAGGACACCATGCTTGGTAACGTGGAGGGCAGTGGACAAGAAGGTCCTCCATGACAGATGCACACAGGCTGCATAGATGGGCTTGGGCACAGGAACCGTGGTGAGGAGGGCACAGGACCGGGCAGTGCCTCGTTCTGTTGTGCATGGGGTTGCTGTGGGTCGGGGCCAACTCCATGACAACAGCCTCCGCAAGGTGACAAACAACTAATATCTGCTCATTAGAGCCGCGTACTTGAGATCATTCGGTGACAGCATCTCTTAGAAACTCACTCGGCAGTAGGGGTCACCTCTTTCCTGGAAAGGTCGAGTCTGCTGCTGGAACTTGAGGCGCCGGGAATGGGTGTCGGTCCTCCTGGCAACACCTGGCCAGTCCTGCCAAATGAGTGTTTAAGTCTTTCCCAAGGGGGATGGAGGTGGGGGGCGGGCATGGAGGCATCTTGCCTCCAGCTGAGGACCCTGGGGCTCCTGATGCCTGCCCCTCGCTGTGCTTCGAGCCGTCACGCTCTCTGCTGTGGTGGCACGTGCACTGGGGCCCCTGCTGGGACAGCATCATCCCCATGTCAGTTCCCAGGGTCCTCCTGGTGTCCCTTTTGGAAGGCAGAGAGTGCATGCCCAAGGACTGTGCCGACGGGGAGTTTTAACTCACGCTGAGCCCCGAGACACTTCAGTAGGGAAGAGAGGCCACAGCATTGTCCTGCTCTGACTGAGCCAGGCCTGGTGTGCAGTGATATGACCTTTGTGCCGGGCTCCATTGGTGCCACCGGGCTGGGGCACACCCATAGTCCCACGTGCTCTGCACTAGCTCAAGGATGGCATTCCCAGGCCTCTGCTGTTGGGGGTCCCGGGGGCACAGTGGGAGAGGCTGCTGAGATGCTGCGCCTCTCAGAGAGGGGCCAGGACAGCGAGGGGTCAGAGAAGGCAGGGCTACAGGGCACTGTAGGGCTTACTGAGAGCCCTGGGTCAAGACCTCATGCAACAGCCGGTCACTTGGGGTCTGGAGGGAACCTGCTGGGCGACCCATCTCTCAAGGTCATGCCTTACCTAGTGGGAGGGAAGCTCGCTGGTACTCTAGGTCCACACCACGCTGGTACTCTAGGTCCACACCCCGCATCCTAACTCACGGTCCTCTGGGCGGATGATAAGCTCTGTGCCGCCACTGCCCCCAGTGTCCACAATGCCCTTCTCCCCGCCCTAGGGGCCTACATACACCCCATTAGCTTCCCCACCGCTACCTGCCTCTGACCCTACTCCCACCCCCACCCCACGAGGCTTCCCAGGGGGCAGCAGTCCCTTACACTGACACGTTTAGTTACATTTTCCCCTGGAGCCGCATCTTTCCTCATCTTCCAGGGCATTCCGGGCCAGCGTCCAGAGCAGTGAGCCAAGCTATAGTTCCTCCTTTCAGGGGCTACCACGGGAGAGGACTCTTTTTGAGCAAAGATGATCATAATAATTTAAAAAAACAAACCCATTCCCTCAGGTTGATCCTGAGGCATACGTACTACCACCGAGTCCATTCCGACTCGGTGAGCCTACAGGACAGAGTACAACTGGGGGGTTCCTAGACGCTGGTCACTCTTGACGGAAGTAGAAAGTCCCGTCTTCGTCCAGCAGAGCAGCCGGTGGTGTTGAACGGCTGACCTTGTGGTTAGCAGCCCAGCATGTGACTCACTCTGCCACCAGGCCCCCTATTCTGGCTCATGGTGACCCCAAAGGACGGAGCAGAACTGCCCCTAGCGTTTCCAAAACTATAGATCTACAGGATCAGACTGTCTCCTCGGTCTCCCGAGGAATCGCTGGGAGGGTTGAAACGCTGACCTTAGATGAGCCGCTTAATCAGGACTCGCCAAACTCGCCGCCACCGAGTCCAGGCTGGCTCAGAGTGAGCCCCCCGCGGGCTTCTGAGACGGTCACTCTTGAGGGGAGTAGAAAGCCCAGTCTTTCTCCTGCAGGGTGGTTCTGAACTGCCGGCCTTGTGGCCGACAGCCCAACATGGAACCACTACACCGCCAGGGGCCTGCCCTTGAACTAGACTCTAGTCTAGACTCTAGGAATAGAGACACTGATAAGAGAATGATTTGGGGGGCGCTTCCTGTGTGCCAGGTGCTGTGCTCAGAACCTTACCTAAGGTCTTCCCCTTCTTGAATCAACCAGGTGCCCGAGACACCAGGATTGTGCCCATTTACAGGTGAGAACACTGAGGATTAGAATAGTTGCGCAATCTGCCTGGGGCCATGCAACTCGTTCCTGAATTGGGGCTTGGACTCCAGCTGGTCCAACATCCAACCCAGGCTCTTCACGCCCTGTGCCACGCAAGCACCGGCAGGTATCTGAGGCAGGGCCAGCAGGTACCTTTTTGCTAATAGACACCTGGCCTGCAGGGGTGAGAGCACCTTGTTACCCCTGCCCACTCCTCCTTTCCCTACAACTTCCCTCTGATGCTGTATCTGTCTGTCTGTCTTCTCTCCTCCTTTTCCTCTTCCTCCTCCTCCTCCTCCTCCTCCTTCTTCTTTCTCTCTCTCTCTCCTCTCTCTTGGGCTTAGAGAATGTGCATGGAGGAATCACAGCCTCTCCCAGCAGGAACTAGGCTTCCCGGAACCCACGCTAATTAGCATGTGGTTTGGGATTTGTAGGGATTCACAGGCAAGGCCCTCGAGAGAAGGAGCAACACTTTGGTTTTAATAAGCTAGCAAGCTAGAGTCTCTGGAGATGGGGCACCTCCCCTGCCAAGCCTGCCCCTGGAGGACCATCCAGCCAGGGGAGACTAAAGTCTCAGGCATCTCCCTTGAGACTGTCCCTTCTCCAGAAGAGCCGAGCCCATTCATCGATCCCACAGGTGCCTTGCCCCATCTCTCCCATGTGCCGGCTGCTGTGCCAGGAGCTGGGCTGCAGAAATACCCAAGCAAAAGTCTTGCCCCCTGCTCCTTTCTCACAACGGACACATTCAGGAGGCTGTCAAAAAAGGGCCCACCTGCTGCTGTGCAGGCGATTCTGGCTCATGGTGACCCAAGTGACTCAGGATAGAGCTGCTTCATCGGGGTCCCTGGTGGCATCGTGGTTACACGCTGGGCTGCTAACTGCAAGGTCAGCAGTTCAAAACCGCCAGCCTTTCTGCCGGAGAAAGAAAGGGTTTCCTATTTCTGTGGAGTCACAGTCCTACCTGGCCCTGTAAGGTCTCTATGAGTCAGAAACTACTCAACGGCAGTGAGGGTTTTTGTGTTGTTTCCCCCCCCCCATAATCTTTGTAGAAGGAGCCATGGTGGTGCTGGATCTCCAACCACAAGGTCAGTGGTTCAAACCCCGCAGCTGCTCCACTCCTGGGGAGTTTGAGTTTGAAGCTGTGTGTCTCCTCCTTGGAGACCTCTCTATAGGATCGCTGTGAGTCAGAAGGGACTCCAGGGCCGTGGGTTTGGTTTGGGGGTTTAATTCTTGGAGACTCGCATCTCCAACTCTTTCTTCTGAGGTGCCTCTGGGCAGATTCGAACGGCTGGTCTTCTGGTTAGGAGCAGAGCACTTACCTGGCTGTGCCACACTGGGAGGCCTCATAGCTGTCAAGGGTCCACAGACATCTACTCAATCGCCCTTTGAAATGCTGGGCCAGAGCACCACAAACTCAATCACCCCCAGGGGCAGTGCAGACAGAGAAGCAGGAGGGGGCTGCCTGCCCCAGCCAGAGGGTGAGCTGAACAAGCTGGGGGAGCCTCATCGCCACAGCCCAGGCCAGAATGGGTTAACTGAGGTGCCAGCAGTGCCCCCACTCCCAGCCGGAAGCCACTTAGTCCAAAGTAGCGAGTGCGTCACCAGGGACGGTGGCAGCTGGAAGGATTCGTGGAGCGCTGAAGCCAGTGAGGCGGGAGGGGCCCCAGGGTGATGAGAGGGCGAGGGAGGGAGGAATGATCTCAGAAAGAGGGCTGTGTTTGTCGGCAGGTGTCTGACGCAGCTGAGTCCCGGAGCAGGTGCTGTTAGAATTCACTGACCCTGACAGCTGGCAGGGCTTGGGGAGAGGGGGGAGGAGCAGGGCTTCCCGGTGCCCTACACAAAGGTGAAGAGCCCTTCACACGTGGCACCCCTCTCCCTGATCACCCAGGGAGGGAAAGACTTCCCAGGGGTGTCTACCCGTAAGCCACTTGCTGTCAGAGGGACTCCAGCACCCGGCAGCCCTGGGTGTCCCAGAGGTGGGTTTGGAGGCTGACAGTTCAGAAGTGGCTCACCACTCCTTTCTTCTGAGCCACCTCTGCATGGTCTTGAACCTCCAACCTTCCCAGGAGACCAGAAGTGTGAACTGTCTGCAACCACCCAGCAATTCCTTCTGCCCACAAGACAAGACGACCTGCCCAAGACCCCATACTCTTCCCTAATGTCCACCCCCCACCCCAGGGCTTTTGGCTGGGGGCAGGACACCCTCATCCCAAGATGAGTTCACTGGTCTGATCTGCTGCAATTCCAAACCAATGCTGGTCACGACTGAAGCAGGGATACCGTGGTGGCCCCATGCCCGGTGGAGGACATACGTGTCTGGTGTGTCTGTGGCGTCACTGCCTCCTGCTGAGTGCTCTGTGTACTCTCACAGCACGGGCTTTGGTGACCTCACTGGCCACTCTACAGACCA